CAGTGTTAAGAAATGCTTATTAATCTTAGAAATCTTCTGTGTAAAAGTTCGAAAGCAAGATAGTTTGCAAAAAGAGCAGATGCATAAGGAATAGATATCCAAGGAAGAAACTTTAGTGAACATCTACATGGTAGGTGAGAAGGGGAAGAGAAACCAATAGAGATGAAATGGAAAGGACACTTAGAGAAGTGGAAAAGGAACCGGGAAGGGTTAACACAAAAGGTGAGGGGAAAGAGGAGCAAGGACAAGTTCTGTAGTGTAAAGGAAGGGATTGGAGGAGGCACATCAAATACAAACCATAAAGGTCATACAGAAAGAGCGAGAGAAAATAGAAATGGGATTTAATGTGAAGAAAGTAGGTAGAAAGATTTGAAACACACGCTGCAGGAAATGGGATATAAAGTCTTTTAGAAATGACTTGGCATTTGCGATCTATAAGTGAGAGTGAGACAGTGAACAACAACCTTCTGCGGGTCAGGATTTGCCCAAATGAGTGTGAGCAAATGAGAGGTCAGTGGAGGAAAACACCACCAACACCTCTTGAACCATCCTTGAATGCCTGAATCTGAGGTCAGTGCTGGGAGGAAGGAAAAGGGAGGCTAGGACAGGGCTGATCGAAATGGTGGGGACCTAGACTCCTAGTTAGAAGGCAAACTCATTAGGCGTTAAAAGATTAAGAGAGGAAAAATGTGGTCAAAGAGGAAACTTTAGATATAAAGATCAATTTTTTAGTCCATTCTTTCAAATAAGTCCATTCCTACAAAAAGTTTAAAATACTTTAAGAAATAAAGACCTCTCTCCAGTCTCCTGATTGCTCCTCCCAGTTCTGTCCAGTTAATGCTTCTTTTATCCTCTTCCATCAGGTCTTCTGTATTCATAGCTTGTCATTTATCGCACATTCCTCCAGGCTCTATCTTTGATCTAATTTAATCTCAAGAACTCCTAAAAAATTTATAGCTAGTGCTGACACTTGTAATGTTCTTAAAATTTATTTTTATTATTATTCTCCTATGTTTCAAAATGTTTCCTATATTTCTATTTTTACAATATCTAAGTATGACACTGAACTTCAAAAGTCTTCAGTGCTTAACAAAGAAAATAGTCATGCAAAAAGTTGAGATTAAAACTTCTACAATCAGGGCCGGCCCGGTGGCGCACTGCTACAGTGCGCCGCTTGGGAGCGTGGCGGTGCTCCTGCCAAGGGTTCGGATCCCACATACAGACTGGTTCCCGCTCACTGGCTGAGCGAGGTGCGGGTGCAACACTGAGGGTTGCGATCCGTTGCCGGACATGAAAAAAGACAAAAAGGAAAAAAAAAAAAATTTCTACAATCAACATGTTTATTTATATATTATATATCATTTCTCTTTAAATCTTAACTGTTTGGGCAAAGCTTGCAATACGTAGTAAGATTAGATTGCCTGTTTCTTTTAGATTTAACAACAACAGTATAATCTGATTTAATCAATGAATGACATAAACCAGTTAGCCAACTTTGACAGGAGTGACCAATTCAATATAATTGTAAGTATAACTAGTCAGCTATCACTGCCCTGGATTCAGGCAGCTACAATGCTTAAACTTGAAGGTGGAGGACATCAGCATCTGCCACTCCATAGACCAGAGTGGCCAGACTTCCACATTCTGCTAGTGTCCTTTCCATTACAAAAAATAATAATATAATGGTTTTTTAATTAACAATGTTATTGTCGTTACCATGACAATGATAATAGTAACTACCATTTTCTGAGTACTTAACTATGCTTCACTGACTCTGCTTTGTGTTATTAACTCACGCATGTACCTCAGAGGTAGTTAATGACTACCCCTTTATAGATTTGGGTTTTTTTAAATTAATCTTTTATTTTCACATATTGATTGTACATATCTATGAGGTACAGAGTTACATTTCAGTGCATGTATACAATGTGTAGTGATCTGATAAGGATAATTAGCATACTTACTCATTTATTTGTGATGTGAACATTTGATCTCCTCTCTTCTGGTAGTTTGATAACATGCAGTTAGTCATTGTTAATTATGGATACCTGGGTCGACTGCACACCAATAGAACTTACTTTTTCTATCTAGCTGTAATTTTGTATCCATAAACCAGCTTCTCACTTCCCACCCTTCCTGCCCCTTTCCCACCTCTAGTCACCAGAGTTCTTCTCTCTCCTTTTAACAGTTTGTCTGATCATTATTATTTTTATTTATTTGTTTGTTTTTTGTTTTTGCTTTTGTTTTATCTCCCACATATGAGTGAGAATATGTGGTATTAATCTCTCTGTGCCTTGCTTTTTTCACTTAACATAATTTCCTCCAAGTTCATCCATGCTTCTGCAAATGGCAGAATTTTGTTCTTTTTATGGCTGAGTAGTATTCCATTATGTACACATACAATATTTTCTTGGTTCAATCATCTGTTGATGGACATTTAGGTTGGTTCCATATCTTGGCTTTTGTGAATAGACCTGGGAGTGAACATGGGAGTGAACCCTGAAGGTCAATCTACCCTTGTAAAGGGGACCTTCTTCAAATCATAGTGTATAATAAAAATATCAAATGTTAGCTGTGAATGCAGCTTTTAAATTGATTTTAAATGCTTTATTAGTCTAAAATGTACCCTGAATCAAACTGTCAAGTGTCATGTTTGCTAATAATAAGTAATTAAAAACAAGTAGTCTAATCTTTCTGAAAAGAATGACTATTTCCTCTATATAGAATATATTTCAATTTTTCAAAAACACCGTATTTAATTTTAAGAAAATTAAATATGTGAGTCAGATATGTTACCACCACCACCACAACAAATCCACAGTGTAACCATAGTATTAGCTGTGCCTTTTGATGGTAGAATCCTCAATCCATTATTCCAGGTATAGGGTTTGTATTCATGGTTTAGACAGTATGTTTATATTAATATAGTTAGTTTTCACAAAAATAAGATAATACCCAACTTCTTTTTTCTCTGTTATTAGAAATGTGTGCAAAATAGCTTCCTTCTTTCCATACAACAGACCCTTTACCCACATCTTCCTGAAGTGGAAAAGAAAAGGGAAGGCAAGAGAATGTTTTCTTACGTAACTAAAAAAGGGAGAGCAGGAAGTGGTATATTCAACTAGAGAAGCTTTTTTTTTTTTTTTTTTTAGATAAATGACTTTCTCCATTTCTCACCCAAAAAAGAAAATTGGGTTTATCATTGAGTTCTTGTGGGGTTTTATTATCCTCTCTAGGGATCATAAATTTGAGTTGATTATTTCTTTACATCCTTTTTTTGGACATCTAATTTTAATGTTTCTGATGGTCGAACAGAAGAAAAGATCAAGTACTTAAAATTTAGAAGGTTTTGTTTTAGATAAATAGCAGTCCATAAAGTTAAAATAAGCAAACACCACTAAACTACATTGATGCTTTTAAAAATGAAACTTTTATACAATCTATTGACGTGCTCAATGCCATTAAAGATGGCTTTTAAGCATTTCTATATGCATTTTAAAATTGCAATTTGCATACATTCTGTGCAATGTTTCTTTACCATCATAGAAGCTGATAGCCCTCTAATTAATTTACATATTTTGTGTTGATATTGTCATTGTGATGGTGGTGTTTAGATGCAATTATTAATCTAACTAGAAAAAAACCACTAGCCCAGACATGAGCTATATAGAAAGCCATGATGTTATTAACGCTCTAGTACTATATTTTTTTGTTAGGACAACGTATCTGACATGAACATTTCCTTGAACTATAATTTAGTATTTTCAAAAATTTGAAACATTTATATCGAGAATGTAATTTTTCCACAATGATTAGACTGCTTATTACCATAAGTTAGTAAATATCATGCAACTCAAGTTTAAGTCAGGCTAGTACTTTAGATTTTTAGAGTATTTAAAATTAATTTAAAAGCATTGTCTTGGTTTACCTTTAATATTTTTATTATGAAAGATCATTGTGGCTCAAAGTGATTGAAAGCAGATATTTATTAACAGGAAACTTTAAGGGCAAGTTTACAAAATGTTCTTAATCTTAATTTTTAGAAAAAGGTTAAATAAAGTCAATTACTAAAATAATATATATATAAGAAATCACTAAATCATCAATATTTCATAAATATATCACATATATCTTTAGCTAAGAACTATTAAATATGGATAAAGCTTAGTGAATAAAATAAATTTCTTCTCAGTAGAGACTATCTCTAATTAAATTTCCTGCTTCACTTGACTTCTAGCCTTAACTATGACCCTCCCCTCTATGTAACTTAATTTCAGAGTCTTATTCATTTGTTTGTTCTTTTATTTGTGTATCATCCACCTGATAGTTTAACTTCAGGGCATTAAATAAAAAATAAAGTTTAGTTACATTTTCTTTCTAGGTAGCTCAATTAAGCTATGAACTCTTTTTTACTTTCCAAATCTAATTGTTTTGAGAGTCGGTTTTTAGTTTTGCTTTTTTGTTTTGTTTTGATAAAAAATTTTAGGAGCTCTTCAATCTGAAGCCACAAAAATATCAGTACTACCTAGTGTTTTAAACTTCCATACCATATTTTTATGCTTGAATATACCTTTATCCCTTCTTCAAAGTGTTTTAGCATTTTTTTAAACTTTGTTATGAAATGTAGGTAAGAACACTTTAGAAATTTGCGGGAAACATTGACATGATTGTTACCAATTGGAGGTACCACATGATCAGGTAGTTCGTCCCTTGAGTTAGTGTTTTGAAAAAGAAATTAGAAAAGCAAGAATTAAGAAATTAAGTAAAATATAAGTATTCAGTTAGAAATTGTTCTACAGCTTTTCTTTTCAGTTTTGTAATTTTGTAAGTCACCTCAAAATCTAGTATTGTCATTAATGATTCATTTTTCAGTAAATATAATATTGATATTTGTGCAGACGAAATTAAAACATGTGTAGCTATGCTTGGAGTCCATTTGGGTGCTAATGGTGTTGATATTTTTATTCACATATTGCAATCTTTTTTTTTTTTTTTTGCAGTTTTACTAAAGGGAGGAAAAAGAGAGGAAGAGAAACCATTTAGAGACTGTGCAGATGTATATCAAGCTGGTTTTAATAAAAGTGGAATCTACACTATTTATATTAATAGTATGCCAGAACCCAAAAAGGTAAAACCAGAAGTGTTTGTTTACGAGATATAAAGCAGATCCTAGTTGATTGCTGGATAATCAGATTGATTTGTGAGCCTGTTAAACCAAAAATATATATATATGCTTGAGCTCTTTAGTCCCAGAGATACTGTTTCCCAGGTCATAAATGATGAAAGTCCTATTGTACAGACATCTTCCCCCCTCCAGCCCCCATACCTCCCATCTTTCTTTCACACCGTTTTCTTTTACTTTTTGCTAGTTCTGGGACTGCCCACTGCTCGTAAGTGTTTGTTTTGTCCAGATTACATGTTAAGGTCCTATCTACCTTGTGTGTATGGGGAGGAGTTAAGGAGCCATCTTCCAAGGTCTCAAGAACCCAGAGGGCACACATCCACAGCCCAAATACTGTCAGGAAGGAGAAGGGGACATATAGCTATTTGCAGAATCACTGCTCCAATTAGGGTGGGAGAAACATATTCTATCTTAACATAATTTTGAAAGGATTATCTTTTCATATTTACATAAAAGAGTGGGTTGGAGGATCAGATTCATCAGTATGCTGAACAGGACCCAAAGTAAACTTTGAAGTAAGCAAACATTATCTTCTTGCTGTCCCATCTGTTTTATATACCTTTTCCTCTCGTTTATTTATTAAGCCTGCCATCCATGCCTTCACTCAGTACAATTAAGTGGATGCCATTTATTTGTCGGTCACTGGCCAGGGACAAAAATATGAAGCAAACAGTCCCCAGCGTAGTGGTGAAGACAGACAAATTCTGTCTGTCTGATCTGATCAAACTCTAGTTCCCTTTCTACCAGTGTCCTCTCTCTCCGGATTTCAATAAGGAATAGTGGTTTAAGTTAGTTTAATGTTTTCTTTCCTTTGCTGGGACACACTTTTCTTCTCAAAAGAGGCCTTCAGTGTCGTTCTGTGATTGGGAGAGGGATGAGGGTAGAGTACGCACTGGAGGAAGGAAAGGTGCCAGGTGCAGTTTTATACGTTGCCACCTCGGCCACCTGCCAGAGAAGTTTGGTTTCACCTGTTCTTCGTTTTGGGCTTCTGTGCAAGATTTTGTTGAATCAAATGCTCGATGCTTAAAAAACAAAACCAAACAAATTGTGAAGACACAATGGCAGGTCTGGGAGTGAGGAGACAAAAGTAACTTATTTCAAGGAGGATCCTTTTGTATATCCTAAAATCATACGTAGACAAATTCAAAGCACACCCCCCCACACACACACCCCATATGTATAGTACATAAAGTATGTGCGAAACTGTCCTGGGGGAGGGGAGTCGAGCTAAAACAATGCTCCCTGTCATTTACCTGCAGTACTGCCCACGACTTAGAAGAACCCATAAATGATTGTCAGCTCCACAATAACTTATAACTTGAGTATAAAAAATAAAGTTAACTAAAAATATAAAGTGGCCCTCCTTTTAGACTCCTAAGGATTCTCTGACATACAATGAATATAAAAATAAAATAATTTTCAATGTATTCAGATTGAGAACATTCACACTTTTAGAGTTTTTTTCACTTTATTACCAGTACTACCACGTGGCCTTTGGGGAGAAGGAGCAGCACACAAATCATTACCATTGCTCCTGTTAGGATGGAAGAAAAATATCCTTTCTCAATGTATAATCTTGAATAGATTTGCTTTTTATATTTACATAACAAAGAGGGTTGGAGGATCCATTTCACTAATTCAGTGGTTGGCTTCTGGGATGGTTTCATCAGGATAATATGGGTCAGGCTTACACCTCCACAAAATGATGGATTTTGCATATTATGGAGATTTAGGGTTGTTCTGGAATAAATAAAATCTAATATTTAATTTGCAAATGTTAAATATCTACTGGATTCAACTTCTGAAATTAGGGTCTAGGAAAAAATGACAGCCTGAGCAGGTTACCAGTAATATCAATACATACCTGTAAGAAGCAAATTGTATCACTGCAGAAATGGCCCCCATGGCTTTACAGAAACAAGGAGAAGTTCACACATGATCTGGTCTGGACTCTCATTAGATTTGGTTTTATTATAATAGTAGCAGAGCGTGGCGAGAAGGGCAGACAACAGCTGACAAGAGAAAGGTGCTGGACTTCTTCTGGACTTAGGTGTCCATTCTCTTGTTTTATTCTTTCCTCTTTATGGTTATGGATTCTTTCCCAAGTAGTAATATTATTCTTTAGTAGAGATGGATATTTGAGACTGACATACTTACACTTTTTGTAGGTAATAAATTTTGTTTTAAATCCCTTATTATAATCACATTACATGGCATTAGTAAGAACAAATATTGTATGAATTTCCTCGAAGTAATTTAGAAGCTGATTAATACAATAGTTCAAATATACTGAGCATTTAGTTTGCCAGGTCCTGTTTATTCTTTTCAACGATTCTATGAGATAGGTGCTCCCATCTATTTAGAAAAATTACCTGCCCAAAACACATTGTTAGCAATTATTGAACTCTGGTTTTGAAACCAGGGAATCTGACTCTCCACTGCATCTTCAGACGAGGTCAGAGGACCAAGCAGGATTATTATTTATATTAGTGATAACTGAAGTTGCACTGTTCATAATTTTTTAATGTGAAACTATCACCCTATGTAAGGAAACACATGTATGACATGTGAGGGGCACAAACAAGGTTCATTATTTGGAAAATTAGGTAAATCTGTTCATGTTCTGATTATAACCCATCTCACTCTTAACATCCTATAATCTCATTTTCTTCTCCTATTTTTATATACATCATTGGTATTCTCTCAATCCTATTAAAAGTGTTAGGAAAATTCATCTTTAGGACATTCAGACTTCCAATTAGACTTTATATCATAGACATAAATTTTGGTGCTACCCTTGGATATGCTTAGCAAAACCTTTGCTCATTGTAATTCTTCCAGAAGTTCTAGCAAGGGTAAAAAACTCAAGGTAACCTATATAAAACAAAACCAAACAGTCACATATGTGTGATATGGACAAATCAATAAAATAGAGCTATTTAAGACAACTGACAAAAACTGGTATCAGAAATTATTCATCTTTTAGGCAGAGTGAGAGTTGCAAGTATAACAGAATTGTTATATAGCTGTTGTTTTGATTAACATTGTTTCATGCCAAAAAAGAAATATCTGCAAAAATTTAAAAAGTGTTATCTTTTCAAATGTGATATGGAAGCCAAAGGTGGTTTTCTAGGACTATTTAATTTTTCAAGCATATAGAAAACTAGACCTAGGTCATTTATATATTTCTTTTTGCTTTCATATTATTAATGGCTTATGGTTATTTCCCTCTCTGAATTCCCTTTAATGCATATATAGTGAGAAACAGAATTTTTCCTTTCATTTCATAAGTTTCTAAAAGAAAATGCCCTATAAGCTAGCTTAGTTACATCCAAATATATATATATCTGCTTTTCGTAAAATATTAAAAATTTGTTTTTGAACTTATAATTCCCCTAATTCTTGGAAAAGAATTATAACAAATGTGTTGAGCCTTTTTCATTTAAGGTTATGAAAAAAGTAATTAATGTCCACAAGTCTAATCATTCCAACTTGTATAGAACGTAAAAGCATAAAAACTGTGTGAATCAAATTTCCTTTTTTTTGTGTGGGTTTAAACCTCTGTATTATGTTAAAAGGTGTTTAATGCTTGAAAGCTTTGACCTTGCCTGGGATAGGAGCCAGTTCAGTCTTTTCTTGGATAGAGTTAAGCCCAAGTCTTATGATCAATAAATGTAACAGGCGTGGTAAATGTAGCAGGGCCTTGTGCACAGGAAGGACATCACCAGATAGCACAGACAACACAATACTGGCAAACGGACTTTTCAAGTCCTTTTATGTCTCAAATCTTTTTGAAACTGACCATTTATTTTCTTTAACTTCCTTCATCTGGTAAGCAATGTCTTTTGTTTTTCTTTTGACCAGAAATAAAAAGTGTTTTGCTTTTTTTTAATTTTTTGTTTTTACTATAGTGAATTCAACTTCTTAAATACATATTTGTGTATGTGTATACTTATATTTTAAAAAGTAGCATGATCAAGGTTAGTAATGCCAACATGATTAACCAGAAATTAGAAACAGTAATCATAAGGGCAATTTATTGAACTTCTACATATTTTGGTTTTATATATTCCATATTATTCATAATAAATTGTAAAAACTGTATGCAAAGTTATATATAATTATACTGTAATATATTAAATGTTATATACATACAGTATATAATGCAAAATATAAATTCATACTATCTCATCTGTGAAATACATCTTAAAGATGAGAGTAATGATAATGCCTATTAAGTGCCAAACACTGTTCTAAACTCTGTATGCATTGACTCATTTAATACCCACAGGAGGTCTACACAGTAGATAGAGCAGTGGTGGGATTTGAATCCAGGCAGTCTAGCCTCAAGTTCATGCCCCTAACCAGGGTGTCATTCAGCTCTATTGTGCCCATATTCCACAAATGGTAGCTATTGTCATTGCTGCTGTTGAGTCCTAATAACAGTTGTGGAGCTTATGTCCAACCCCTTAACCTCCCTGCACCTCAGCCTCCAACCCTGTCATCTGCCTGGTAATTTCTATCTCCCCATGGAGCTCTGGCTTTTTCTCTGGGCTTTCATCTATGAAATTCTCTCAGTACATCTTAACACTTACAAGTCACTGCATGTCTCTGTTTAAAAGGAAAGTTGCCTTTTTCAAAAATTTGTGAGTGGCTTTAAAACTAAGTGCATAGAATTTTAATAACATAGGTAGCAGTACAGCATAGTTTTCTCTGTATACTCTCTATTTATAAATACAGTGGTTCCTTTCCCTGAGCATGTGAGTGGACTTTTTGGCTTTGCAAGCGCAGCTTGGAAAACTTTCAGGCAATCAATGTCCACCAGGAAATAAAAATCAGGAAGAACATTCTGGATTAACCAGTTAGGGCAGGTTTAAACTTAAGAAACTAGTGACATTAGCTTCCTCTGGCAAAATGCTTCCTTGATATTTTCACTTTCTCTTACTCTGATTTAAATTTCACCAATAATTCCCCACCTTGGTCACTTCTGACTCACCTTCTATGCCCTCTTTAATCTGTGCCATCTGATTTTATTCTCACAGGAATCCTGCAGTCTCTCTCGCCAACGTTACTAACAGCTCCATCCAAATTTAAGTGTGTGTTTTCTTAATAATTATTTATTTTGACTTCTCTGGAATGTTTGGTTAAGTTGATCACCTCTCCAACTCAAAATCCATTATCAGCTTTCCTTGCATTCCATAAATCAAGTTTTCCTATTTTATCTTTCTTCATTGCATTTCTATTTATTCAACAAATATTTATGCAGTACCTGCTAAATAACGGCTGAACACTACTCTAGGCACTGGGGACAGAGCAAATGAAAGGAAATTCCTGCCCACCCAAGGGCCACCAGTGTATTTCATCTCCATCGGTTGTTCACCAAAGCCTATTTCTGTACCCTCCTCTTCCCCTCTACACACACTTCTTTCAACCTTTTTCTTTATTTCTTCAAATAATGCATTTGTTGTCACACTATCAACTACTGCCTGCAAGCAGACTACTCCCAATAATTTTGAATTATGTAAACATAGGGTTCAAATTTGTCCTTTGAATGACAGTTCTTGCTTTCATACCTGTTAGCCATTTGTACTCTAAATGCAAAGCCTTAGAGAAAACACGAGGTTTTTCCTTGAATCAGAGCAAAGGTCTGTGTGCACACAGCCTGCGTGCTGCTGTTCCTCCTGTCCACACCTTTGAAATGCTTTAGTATTCAGTTGCTCAGAGAATGGTATTCTTCATACCCCAGCCCTTGAATAACCAAGCTGCCACACTCATGCCACATTATTTACACTGATTGCTCTCCGAAGGTAATCCCATCACAGATATGTTTCTCTCCTTGGATGGCCTCTGGGGGAAACAAATCAATTCCTAAATACATACTATTGTTTTTAGAATAATTGAAATAAGTGTATTTCTTTGAAATATTTGGATAATTTTTCCATATGGGAAAGAAATGTTTGTCACAGTCAAAAGGAATACAGTATGTCATGTTCTCCTCATTGTTTAAAACTAAAATTCAAGCAAATAATGTATTTTCTGTATGCTGAGGAATAAATGTTGCCTCTACTGTAATACTGAACCATCAGGAGTAACCATTGTAATATGTAAGTGTGTAGGAGTTTATATGCAATGAAATACACAGTAGTTAAGTATGTGATATTTTAATAATTATTTTTCTGAAACTTTTATTCTTATTATATTACCATTTAAATCAATTAAAGACTTAAAAATTCCAAGTCTTGTGTTTTTACAATAAAATCGTCTATAGTTTTTTGAAACTTGAGTAACATTTTGTTTAAAAAATTGAACATACACAAGTGCATATTTCCATTTAAGACAAAGATTAATTTGAAAGTCTTATAGTCTGAAACTGAGGTTGTTAATTTTCAGCTGTTTTAAATTTTTGCAAGTAACTCATGCACTATTGATAGAATTTAATCAGAGACAACTCAAATATGAACCATAAGAATAAATAACTAATACGTCTAAACTAACATTTTTCAACATAGTAATTTTTATTTTTTTATTTGGTACTCCTATCTACCCTACTCCTATTTTGAAATATATTGGATACATGATTTCTGTAAAATAGACATGGTTTTCACTTGGCTGTATTTTTCCTTTATCAGGTATTTTGCAATATGGATATTAATGGGGGAGGTTGGACTGTAATACAACATCGTGAAGATGGAAGTCTGGATTTCCAAAGAGGCTGGAAAGAATATAAAATGGTAAGATGGAAGACTTTACAGTGGCTTTTGATGTTTTATCCTGAGGTTATCTTCAACACACTCTATGATAAACCTTAGCATTGTTAGGTGTTTTTTGAGTTATTTTTTAGATACAATGATTCATTAGTGATATTATTTTCATTAGACATGAAATGCTCATAAATCATTTTCAGTAAATGATTTTCATGTGTGCATCAGAAAGGAAGATTTATTACTGAAATTACTTGGAACTGTTGTGTATTGTCTGGATTTGTTCCTAGTTGAATGAGGGTGGGGTGAGCTAGAACTCAGACCTAGGCTGTATACATGAGCCAGGACAAGGGAGTGTAGAGAGCTGAAGGTTGTGGGATAGGGCAAGTACTAGCGATGTCTTCACCCAAATGACTGGCAAATTGTTGCTAGCTGTTGACTGGAAACTCCTTGTGACTTTTCCGTGCGGCTAGTCTGGGCTTCTTCCAGTACCCTGATCCAGGGTCATCAGACTTCATATGTGTCAGTTGACATCACATAAACACAGCAATAGAAGCTTTCAGGCCTTTTTAAGTTTTATTAGCCCCAGAAATGGCACAGTGTTACTTCCATTGCATTCTGCTGTTTAAAGTTGATCACAGGTCCAGTTCAGATTTAAAGCAAGAAGAATACACACAGGTATGAACTGTGAGTCATGGTTCACTGGGGTCTCCTAAATAACAGCAGACCTCATCACCAGCATCACCATTGTCCCTAGCCTTTTCATTGCTTAATATAATGCCAGCTCTGTGCATAAATTCTCATCTAATTTTTATATCAAGTCTATTAGCTAATACTATCCCATTTTAAGAGGAAACATAAATTAGGGAGATCACCTTTTCCAAGATAATATAGTAGATGGTTGAAATAATCTATAATCCTATAATCCCATAGTCAATGTCTACAATATTAACTATTAAAATCTGCTGACAGAATGTCAAGGCATGGTTATGGAGAAGGATCTCCATTTATAGACTAATTCTCATTCTTTGACATCTAAAACTTCTGGATAAATCTTGTCTTGAATTTCTAACAAATTCCCTTCTCAAAAGGTAAAGAAAAAAAATGATAGAAGTGCTGTACTAGCCTAATTTCTGTCTTGATATCGTTTTAGGCAATGTGTAAAAACTGTGGTTGGTTGACATTATAGTTTACTCATTAGCAAATTCATAGTTGGGTCAAACGACAGTAAACAAAGAGTTTAATAAATGAATGGAGGTCTGTAGTGTGATGTCTACAACATTTTTATCAGATTGTTTAACACTCTAAAAGCAGGTTGGTAAAGTTTGGGGTTATACAAAGTTGAAATCTTGCTCTGTTTAATAAACTATAAACTCAAGATAGAAAGGTAAGCTGAAGCCAACAAGATAGAATTCCACAGAGATAACTGTAAAATCTTTTACCTAGATCAAAAATTAAGATTAAGAATACAGGATAAAGGGGACATATTGGCTTAAGAACATGGTATTTGAAAGATGGTGAGATTTACTTGGCTATACATTCACTTTGCGTTGTTGGCTACTAAACATCAAAGACTAATGTACTCAGTCTACATTAATAGTAGTTTTTAGTCACAAAATTGCAGAACTCACTGGTGTCTGCTGTGTTTTGGGTACATGGAGAATGTGCTTTCAAGTCTGAAGGTTTTCAAACAAATAAACTTATCCTAGAGGTTACAAGCAGGATGTGAGGACTCTGAAAATCATGTCTGGAGTAGGAATAGTTGGGGCTATTTAACCTGGAGAGAAAAGGAATTAGGCGTAAACCTGTCTGATAGCTCTTTTAATGAACGGGATGGATGGATGTGGTACAACAGCCTGCTACTAAAAGTGTGGTCCAAGGAGCAGCAACATTAGTATCATCTGGGAGTTTATTAGAAACAGAATCTCAAGCTCCACCTAAAACTTAATGAATAAGAATCTGCATTTTACCACACTGCTTTAGAGAGAAATTCCATGATGAATGGAGGAACATTCCAGAGAGGCAAAACTTGACTAAGTATAAACAAAACTCTCTAATGATTAATTCTTTCTAATATGAAATGGACTGCCTGTTAAGTGGTGAGCATTCCCCCACTTCAGTGGAAACACCCCTGTAGTAGAAGGTAGATCATCGTCTTTCAGGATTGTTATGGAGAATTGGAATGCTAGGTCAGATTCTAGGACCTCATTCTGCCTACGCGATTCTAAAAATATATGGGGGAAAAAAGATTATCTAAGTTCTAGAAGAGGACCTTGAGTCATATCTATAACAACAGTTCAAAACTGTGGAGATTTTTTGATAAATCACTTAACCCATACCTTAGCTTTCTTACTTGTTGAAAGAGAACAAAATAATAATACCTCATCTGCCTTGCAGGGATGTTGTGAGGATTAGAAATATTGCAAGTTAAGCAACTTGGCACATTGAATTTTCAATAAACAGTAGTTATTATTATTATCCAAGATTAAAACATCAAAGACTGCAAAAATTTTACTTAACTCTGCCAAAACTATTACTTTTTGAACCACCTTAACTCATGATTATTTTCACCACTAAAATGGAATGTGAAGTCATCTGACAATCAGACTATAGATTTAGATTCAGGCAAATCCAAAGTATATTATTTTTAAAATTAATGATAACAGAAAAATACCTATGAAGTTGTCATCATGGTGACTTTCCAAAATGGTAAATTATTAGCTGAAAACATCTGCTGCCTTGGCAAGCTAGTCACATTAAGTAAGAGAGACTGACATGTAAAGTATGGAATTGATTGATGTCTTGTATGTATTTACCAAATATATCTATTTTCAAGCAATTCCTTTTTCATCATTGAAACAAAACTAAAATCCTTTAATTATAGTTTGATGGAGTTTACCCCTACCCCCTTCTTTAAATAAGAACGACTGTCATGCTTTATTCAAATTTGAAAAATTTATCAGTGAGTGTCAATTTTGCATGGTCAGAAAATGTGTTTCACTCCAAAATTCTGAAGCATTCTAGCAAAAATGAGTCCAAAGATTTTTTTTTTAATGTTAAAAGGATTCATCATATGTCACACTTGATTAACATTCACCAAAACATATGGTAGAAAGTGTTTCAGTTGTTTCGTCCAAAGCGTTTCTTTCGTCTAAAGACAAAATAACATGACTCCTTATGGATATAGACTCCTTATGCCAATTCTGATCAGTCACACCCACTTCCATTCCCTGCAATTGATGGACCAGCTACTCACTTCTTCAGCTTAGGGTGCATGTCCTTTGGGAGAACAAGAACTTGACATGTACCACCTCCTCCTCAGTCCTCCTCAAACTACTATTATATACACTTAAATGCTGCACTGCTTCCACGGGCATTGAATGCAGAAATAACATTTCATCCCTCCTTTCTGTCTGCCTTTCCTCTCTCTTCTCCTTCATACTGGTTGATATTTTAGGGGCTGTCTCTTGCCTCATGAGGTTTGCAGAACAATATATTAATGTTATCAACACATGAGATTATAAATATATATGATACATCATCATTATCATTTAAGCCTCTCTTAACATGGAAGGTTTGCAATTTATTTGGTTCTTAACATTGGCTTTAAGCCTACAAAAGTCTTTTACCTGAGCTTTGTTTTCACTTAACCTTCCTTAAAAGGAGATTCAGCAAAATCTGGTTTATGGATTTATAATGATGTTTGCTGAGAGGGAAGTCTGGAGTGGGCTTTTTAATGAGGCACTTAGGGAGCTATATTAAGTTCTTCAAGCCATAAGGATGCCAGTTAGTGGCCTCCAGCAATAACACTTATCAGCAATGCTTTTGCATCTAAAATCCAATGAAGCTAGGAGTTCTAAGTAGTACCCTGAGTGGCCTAACTTTATAGTAGGCAGCAACTAATGCCCTGAAGACAAACTTGCTTTTTTTAAAAAAAAAGAATTGCCCTCATAAACAGAGCTTCCTATTGGCACAAAAATTTTAGTCTGAGAACCATACCTTCTGGGAATTCTTTGTTTTGGGAAAAATATTAACACATTTTTAACTGCATTTTATAACTTCATCTTAAAAAGAGAAAAATACAAAAGAAATATAAAATTTTGAAATAAATTATTCTTTCTATCTTTTTTGAGTTGAGGGCTTCAGCAGTGAGAGGAGATGCAGGATTTAATTGTGTATTAAAGCACCTTTGGAAAACCACAGTTCGGTCTTATCTGTTTTCTTTAATAATTTGTATAAAAAAAAGATGAAACCCATAAGATACATGGACTGTGTCTGCTTTCAATTTTGCTTCATCTATAAAAAGTCAATACTTCCTGTGAGTATTATCAGACAAAACAAAGTATGAGAGACAGTTATTTTATTAACTTGAAAAGCACAAATCGAAGTTGAACATTTTTGCAGGTTTTGGCAAAAATTAATAAATGTTGGTCTTTCCTCTGCATGTATTTTTTTAAGTAAAATGTGCCTGTTAAGGCCAATTTTAAGTCAGAATTAGTTTAGATTAATTTTCAGTGTCTTTTTTCCCCTTATTAAAGAAGTATAGGAGAAATAAAATCAATTAACAATGTTTCTGTATTATGAGATCAAAATATTTCATGTGGTTGTGATTGACATAACTAAACATAGTTGTTTTCATGAAAGTATATAGCATAGCATCCTTGGATTTTATTCATAAAAAGCAAGAAATTCTATTTTTATTACTATTGTTTATTCATTCATTACTGCTTTTCTAATATCAGCACAGAATTTTGTATAAAATTTCATATTTATTCTTATGGATGTTACAGGCCATTTGGGGTAAAATATAGACCTGTGGTAAGTCATGTACAATAATTTTAAACTTATTTTGCGGGATGTACATTGGCTGTCTCTGTATTTTTTTTTCAAGGACTGTCCGATATACATAACCAAAACTTGCCTCCTGATATGGAGCTCAGAGTGAAGGTGGGGTTTTATACCTGCCTTTTCCCTGTGTACCACTCAAGTTGTTTGATCTGATTAATATATTCTTCCTAATTTTCACTTGGAATAGTTATTTTATGGTTCTCTACCTTTGGTTCATAGCAGACTCACATGCAGAACCTTTTAAATACACAGATCCCCAAGCACCCCAGACATAATCAGGAACTAAGACATCTGTATTTTCAGACAGCTCCACAACTGTTTCTGATATGAAAGCAACTGTCAGAACTATTAATTTATCAGCATTAATTTATCAGAATGATAAGAACTTAAAAATTACCCCTTTTGCGGATCCTAAAACTCGTGAGATGTGGAGAGAGAAGGAAATTAAAAGAAAAAGAACAAGAGAGAGTTGAAGGAGACAGGTCCTCTTTAGCATTAGGAAGCAGAGGTAAGAATAAGAAGGCAGTTTATGCTTTCATTTGTATTATAGGTTAGCCCCAATTGCAATCATTTGGTTTTAATTTCTTATTTAATAATAACTTCTTGGATTAAAATGAAAACACTCATTTGTATAAATCAACATTGAACTTGTCATAACATCACATTAGCCCCTAGCATCTGAAAGCCTTTAAATAATTATTTTAGTATCTTAATTTTCAGGCAAAGACAAGACCCTGGATTATTTTTGCTCCCTTTTTCATGCAGAGTAGAAAGAAAATTGCTTACCCTCAAATAGTTCACAGTCTCATGGAAGAGAGGCAACTAAACAGAAAATTGCTATGGATTGTGTCATATCTTCTATCTATAAAAGCAACTAGATTTGTGTTAAGTACTTCTCATGTGTCAGCACTCTGTGAAGTGCTTTAGGTGTATTATCTCATTTCATTCTCACAGCATTTTATATGGAAATGATGTTTTTAATCCCTATTTTGCAGATAGGGAAACTGAGGCTCAAGAGTCAAATAGAAGGTTCCACAGCAAATATGTGACAGAGCAAGACTTCAAATTAAAGCAGAGATAAGGGATAGAGGTTATTTAATCCAAGCCAAGCCTTTGTTCCTATTCATCAAATCCATGGTCATGCCTGATAAACTATCCAACAGACAGTTTACTAATGTGGGAACCCATTTCCCCTTCTTTCACGTATTTTTCATCTTTGTGATGAAACAGTTGCTTCTGCATCACTGCACTTGGCTATTAGAAGGTTTCCTCCCTACACTAACAGCCATTTTGATTCATTATAGTCAAACATTTTGCTCCCACAATAGAGGATATTTGGATAGTTTTGGGGGAAGCTGCTCATCTTTGTGATGAAACAGTTGCTTCTGCATCACTGCACTTGGCTATTAGAAGGTTTCCTCTCTACACTAACAGCCATTTTGATTCATTATAGTCAAACATTTTGCTCCCACAATAGAGGATTTTTTGATAGTTTTGGGGGAAGCTGTGTGAAATAGAATTTTGGTTTCTAAAGGCAAATTTGACTGCTTTCTTTTCGGTTGCTTCTTCCTGAAAAAAGAAAAAGCTTACTATTTAGGAAGGGACATTTATCTCCACTCAGGGGGACATGCAGACCTGCATGCCAAGACAAGGAGGGAGGCTCTTGTCAGAATGACACTAATGCTTGTCCCTTTCTGAGGCTCGCCCAAGATCACTGTACTTTTCCCTGGGGAAACTGGAGAGTTTTATCCACACAGTGCTTTCAACAGCATGGAAATATGTGACCTAAAACTTAACACTTCATCATTCCCAGACTCTTTATTCACATTTAGTATAATTGCCGAATCCCTTTTCAAGGACTACACAGAAAAGGGAATCGTCAAGTGGTTACAGGGAGAGTTTTGACATGTCTGAGCTGAAGCAGGAAAATCCCAATGGTCTTATTTTTCTTCCCGGGGTTTGCTGTAATTGAGAGAGTGCTAACTCTTTGACTTTCAGCCCCTTACAACTTTCTGTTTTGCTTGTGCATTGGAGAAGGTAAGCTTTGCTCATCTGCTTGGTGTGTAGCACCAGCTGCAATTAGAACGTGTAAATTTCTTAGCATATCGGAAATTGCTCTAATGTTTCCTACCACTGTGGAACTTTTGCAAAGTGTCACTTGAGCCTTTTAGTAACAGAGAAACAAGAAGCCACTGCGGTACTAACTTTAATGGGTCCTATATTTTTATTCTGAGCTATGGATAGGTGATCTTCAGGGAAGTATATATACCCAGTGTATATCTGGATCAAGGGTGCTTAAACAAAAACTAAGTTAAATTGGAAAATAACTTTAAAAGTGTGGATACTTTATTCTGAGCTATGGATAGGTGATCTTCAGGGAAGTATATATACCCAGTGTATATCTGGACCAAGGGTGCTTAAACAAAAACTAAGTTAAATTGGAAAATAACTTTAAAAGTGTGGATACATGTATTAATAAACTTCATTTTAACTTTAAATATAAAAAAATACATTTATTTCCTTATTTTTTTTAATGTAGGGCGAAACCTGGAATTCTGGATCAGTAGTTCTTTCAGAAAACTTTCCCGTAATAAAATGTATCCAATCTCTAGTTTCAGTTTCCTTAAAATAGAACAGTAGTTAAAGACACGTGCAAAGCAATCTAAGTTAAAAATCCTCTAAATTTTATTTTTTCCAGTCTTTTAGAAACTCAACAACACCAAATTCAAAAACATTTTTAGTGTTTTTTTTAATTGAGCAAACCTAGATATTTAAATTAGGTTTTATAAAAACAAAATTAAAATCCCTTTCCCACTAATATTTAACTTATTTACATACCATATTATAAATATTATCATTACAATAACAGAACTGGCAAGAATGGGTTTGTTACCAAACACCACTGGCCTTTGGAGGTAGCTCAGTTGGCAGAGACAGTAGCGCACAAGTGAATTTAACACATATTTAGTATAACCTGGGAGTCAATATATTTTAAAGAAGAAACAGAGTACACTTAAGTTGGTTAAGGGAGAAAGCAGTTATGAGAACTTCTACTGTAGTTATAATTCTCTGAAATTGATATACATTACATTTAAAAGGAAGGAAAGGTTTTCAAAACTCTATTATCTGTGTTGAGAAAACAGGACTTATTTTAGTACTTTCCTTATGTTTCTTAATATAGATAAAATAATACCTTTATTAATAAATCCCTAAAGTAACCGGAATTTGTTTCTTTGGGAAACATCAGAGTATATACTGTGATTACTGGAGTTGGTCTTCCAAATATTAATGTGTGCAAGACAAATTAGGGATTTTATTCAGATGCAGATTCATGTGGCTTTCTCTCAGATATTTTGATTCAGTGTGGAGCCAAGGATTTCTGTTTTCAGCCAGAACTCCAGTAGTTATGATTCAGTTGGGCACTTCAAGAAACACTTCCCCAAGACAACCATATTGTCTACGACAAAAATTGTCTTAAAGTTACTTCTCTGAATGTTATTGCAAAGTCTTTCTTCCTTCCTGGCTTCCTCCTTTCCTTCTTTTCTCCCTTCTTTTTTCTCTGAAATTCAATGAACACTTATGGAGTGTGCAATGTATGCCAGCTCTCTGCTAGTTTTGGGGGATTCACAAGTACAATACAGTTTCTATCATCATGTCAGTGAAGCATTGTAAATGATTATAGTCATGGAATTACAGGTTTGCTTATTAATATTTAAAAATGAGAATGTTAAAGCTGCAAAAGTCAGGGGTCTAGTGACACGTAAAGTTATTATGGGAGCATAATTGGACTCCTAATCAGTAATAACAAAAAATAATAATAATGTTAAATAACTTGTCTGATACCACCCTAATGATATTCTTTGAATCATGTTTAAATTATGATCAAAATACTTCATTAACTAGTATTTTAGAAGCATTTTCAAAAGCAAATTTTAAATTGAGAACTGTTATATGCTTAAACCTATTAATCAGATTCAGTTAATCCAAAAATGTCTCATTCATATGAATTTGAATTATGGTGATTTTACTATCATAAGAACGAGACATAAGCCTCAATGGAGAGAAACATACAAGAAAAGTATTGAAATAATAAGTAATTTTTTTAAAGTGTGTAAAAATGTGAAAGAAATACCTTTACTTTAATTTTTTTTTATTGTTGTTTAGACAATACTTAAATGCTGAACAAGAAAAGAGTTTTTCTCTAAAGTAACAACTGTATCTCTATCTTCTTTCCCAGGGTTTTGGAAATCCCTCTGGTGAATATTGGCTGGGGAATGAGTTTATTTTTGCCATAACCAGTCAGAGGCAGTACATGCTAAGAATTGAGTTGATGGACTGGGAAGGAAACCGAGCCTATTCACAATACGACAGATTCCACATAGGAAACGAAAAGCAAAACTATAGGTAAGTCATGTTTCAGTGTACCACTACCTCCTTTCAGTGTCTCCACTACCTCTGACCTGGCCACTTACTAGTTTTGGTGGAGAAGTGTGAAAAAAAGAAATGACAAAATTCACCCTCCAAAATAAAAATTAAGTTGTTTGTTGGCTCAAATTCTAGAGGATGATGAATTAAGTCAAGAATAATGTTGTTATTGCTATGAAGGTGCAGTGAGTTCATAATATAAAACTGATAATGGCGGGCCGGCCCGGTGGCGCACTGGAGAGTGCGCTGCTTGGGAGTGCGGCGGTGCTCCCGCCAAGGGTTCAGATCCCATGTGGAGACCGGTTCCCGCTCACTGGCTGAGCGCGGTGCGGGCGCAGCGCCGAGGGTTGCGATCCCATTGCTGGTCCCCGGTACGGGCGCGACACCGAGGGTTGCGATCCCGTTACTGGTCAGTAAAAAAGACAAAAAGGAAAAATAAATAAATAAACTGATAATGGAAATGACTCAAATGCTCCCTTCTACCAAAATAATTTCTGGTTCTATTTTCTTTATTTACCTTTCTTAAATTATTATTTTTTAAAAATTATCATGAAGGTGACAAGAGTAAAATTTTATGGTTTTGAATGATTTACATAAGATAGATGAGGCATAATTTAGATGTTTTTTGTTTGGTTGGTAAATAATGTAAGGGCAAAAATAAATCCAAATAATTGCATCAATATATACATCATTGTAGTTGCAAAAGTAGACCAATTATACACTCAACTGTAAATGTTTCTGATTTTTTTAATGAGCAGCTTGTACAATAGAAAAAAATATGGCTAAGAAAATAATGATGCAGTAAATTTATTCCACAAACACTGTGTTACTTCTACGCTCAGGAAGTCTATTAGGCGCTGGTGATTCAGTGGTCAGTGATGAGGTCTCTATTCTTAAAGATTTTACAGTCAAGCTTTATTACTAACTAGGTCACTAAAAAAATGGCTGGCATTCATGGAGACCAGAGAAAATATTTTGGTTACTTTTATTTCACTTCTTATTAATGCTGTACTTGGCCCATAGCATCCTTAATTGTGTGTGCCTCAGTTTCATAAGTAAACTAGAGTTGCAATGATTTTTAATTCTCAATATTGTGGCTACTATAATTCTACCTTGGAAACATAATTGTGTGCAATAAAGTGTTGGCACATTTCTTCAAGCAAATTGCAATGATAGCAACCAGAGCCTTGTGCTTTGCTTCTAACCTGTGTAGCTGTCTTCACCTAGTTCGTGTGCTGCTTATTTATCTTTTCAAGACATACCATTCTTTAGGGGTTTAAATATGCATCTTTTTCACAGACAAGACTCATTTTATTTTAATGGATTATGCATGGAATTGGATCCTTGGAGACATAATAATCATTTTCTTAACAAATAATGATGATGTCACCACAACAGTGGATACGAAATAGATCTAAAGAGTTGATTGTCTCATGGGGGGAGCAAGGGTGTACTTAATGGCAACTCAAGAAACCAAAGAAGAGACATTTATAAAATGCAATGGAGTGTAAGAAGAAATGTTTCCAAGTAGGTCAATATTTTGAGAGTTTTATAACAAGAAAAACCACTGTAAAACATCAGGGGTACTCTTATGAAAATGTTTTTACCTGAAACTTGAAACTATATGAAACTTGGCTAATGTCAGAAAGCCTGACAATAGGAGCAGCAAATAATTAGTCTAGCCTTTTTCTAGGCTCCTGAAGAATTTGCTCTGGTTCCTTTCCAAAATGTCTCCAGTTCTCCAAAGGTGATTTTGTGTGTGTGTATGTGTGGTATGTGTGTACATGTGTAAGGCTTGGGTACTGTTAGGGGGACAAAGAACATTTGGGCAGGTTTAGGGAGATTGTCGCCATCTGCAGTAGGCTTCAGGATGTGTGGTGTGAATGTCCTCACATCTGCATGAGGAAGGAGCACTTAGCTCCTCTGAAAGTGCCCATGGGTGATATGAATCTGTGATCAAAATGTATCTTCCCAGCTAGGATAAGGCACATAATCTGGGATCCCCATTTTTCCTTTCTTGAGAGAACTGTAAACCCTAAGCACCAAAATTGTAAAGCCAGAAAGAACTTAATTTAATTCCAGACTTCTGCTTTATGGGAAAGAAAGCTGAGGACCAGAAAGCTAAGGTCCACAATATTTTGCCCAAGGAGGGAGAAAGATTTAAATATGGGACATTTGACCCATCTGATTCAGTGTGGTATCTGTTCTCTCATGCTGCTGTAATGAAGTGGGTGGTTCTGGTCCTCTCTCCTGCCAGGACCTAACAGAAAGTAGGTTTGCAATCATCACCTTCTCATGCAATTAAATATAAGATTCACATTGGCGTCAAATGGGAAATTAGAACTCATTAAAACATAATGCCTGCTCTGATGAAAGATTGGTTAAAATAAGCACACTATAAAATGGTGCTATTCACTCTTCAAAGAAAATGGAACAGAAGCTTGGAGAATTCAAATCCTGTATGATAAACCAATAATTAAGGTACTGGTGGGTAGAAGAAAAGAGCTTCTGAAATTTGCATATTTGATTAAAATGTAAGCATTTAATAAAATTATTACATATAGCATATAATATATATAATAAAAGCATATAGTAGATATAATAAAAAATAAGGAAAATAATGAATTTGAGACAAAATTTTACTTTACAATGAGACATTTAACACATTGAAACAGTACAGTATGTATCCAAAAGAATGCAATTGGCTACCTCTCAAGACTTGTAATAATATTTCTTTTGTGAATATGGTATATCATAACATACATTTTGCAGCATTCATCATTGCATAGGAGGCAAATTAAATAAGGAATTCCAATGTGGCGAATTCAAATCCTGTATGATAAACCAATAATTAAGGTACTGGTGGGTAGAAGAAAAGAGCTTCTGAAATTTGCATATTTGATTAAAATGTAAGCATTTAATAAAATTATTACATATAGCATATAATATATATAATAAAAGCATATAGTAGATATAATAAAAAATAAGGAAAATAATGAATTTGAGACAAAATTTTACTTTACAATGAGACATTTAACACATTGAAACAGTACAGTAAGTATCCAAAAGAATGCAATTGGCTACCTCTCAAAACTTGTAATAATATTTCTTTTGTGAATATGGTATATCATAACATACATTTTGCAGCATTCATCAATGCATAGGAGGCAAATTAAATAAGGAATTCCAATGTGGCAACTAGATTAGCTTATGTTTATAGTTTCTTCTTTTTCTTTTAAAGGACAGTCTTAAATAATTTTATAACAAAGCACTCTTTTGGGATTCATTTAGAATACAGCATGGTTAGATTAATAAGGAATAAAATAAATCAGAAGTCACAAACTATGTATCTGTATAAAAACTTATCTTTGGGTACCTTTGACATGATTTTCAGTGTTTGGGTATTAAAGTCAAGAAGACTTCTAAATAGAAGAAATACTTCTAAATAGAAAGGAGCTGAATTATCAGTGGAGACTCTCAGGCAAAGCACAATGGATCTTATGGTTGACTCTGGTGATAGATGGTCTGTAACTGGGTCGAATATTTCGTGCAGAGACTTCCTTTTCAGCAGTCACACAGTTATGATGACTCTTCTTCATCAAAGAATATTCACCCCATCACTTCTGGTGGTAACATTTAATCTACTGGCTGAGTGCTGCCGGCATCATCTGTGTTCTTGTAGAACGTGAACACCATGTTGTCAATGTGATCATTGCTTATTTTATCATAATGCAGCTGTTTTGGTGGTTCCATTCAATGGCCAATGAAAAGAACTTGAAGGAATTTTCACAGACTAATTTCTTGTGTCAAGCATGGTGGTGGTTCACCATCTTTTTTTTTTTTTTTTTTTTTTTTTTTTGAGAAAAATGTGCAAGGCTCAATATCTTGCTGCTTCTCTTGGCCATTGTCTTGGCCTACTGGCACCTTCAAATCATTATGCAAAAAAAGTATTCACAGGTTCAGAAGATCATTGAAGATAGCAAGATATCTGCCTGAGGAGCAAAACAAAGGCATCAGCTCTTATACCAAAACAGTTAACGCTGTAACCAAAGGTATAGTTTTGTTTGTTTGTTTTAGAACTTACTTGTAAATGAAGAAGTGGACCAAATTTTGTATAAATGATTATAAAGATGAATGAAATATTATGCTTGACTGTTTTTTTTTTAATTCATCCTATAAAATGATTTTGAACACTTTTAATCATTTAACACTCATAATGACTTTTTCAGGTAGGCATTATGAGACACATTTTAAAGATGAGGACACCGTGGTTTTGGCTGCTTGACCTGATCAAATTGAACTAAATGCCAACTAAAATTCAAAACTATGAATTCATGCTAGGTTTTTGTTTTATATTTTTCCTCTTTTAGATTAAATTCAGAAGTTTTCTGAGAGTTTTTTTTTTTTAGTGTTCTTAGAAATTTTATTTTTAAAATTCTTGTAGTAGCTGTGATCATAGTGTATAAACCTGATTTAAGAAAAAAATTCTTATGCTTTTGACACATGTTGATTAAAAGTAAGTGTGATGAATGGCTATATGAGCTCATAAATATGCACATAATATGCATATTTTCCTTTTATCCTCAAAGGGAACTCCAAATGATTTTCTCAGATAGAAAATAAAATCTATAGAACCCAAGAGAATATAAATATGAAAAAAACAATAATGTAAGAGTGTCATGATAAACATATCATGTGAAACAACACACAATCAATGTGAAATTATTAAATACTTTCTCTACAGAGTTAGTATTATCCAGATCCTCATCATCCAACACCCAGACTATTATAGAGCCTTCCTGGCTCTAGTGTTGATACACTGAAATATAACTTCCACACTATTATTGGGATGCTTTTTCTAAAAGGCAGTCAGTCAGACTTTCCCCTCCTTCATGTATTTCAACAGTGTTCAAATATCTGAAGATTAAAGTTTACCACTAAGATTCTTCACGACTTGGCCACTACCTACTTATCCAGTT